GTTCCATGCCAGCAACGTTCCAGCAAATGATGGACACTGTCCTCGCGGGATTGAAATGGCAGTCATGCCTAGTGTATTCGGATGATGCAGTGGTATTCTCTACAATGTTTGACCAATATCTAGAGCAACTACGCATAGTATTGGAAATCATCGAATCAACAAACTTGACAATTAAACCTGAAAAATGCCTCTACGGCTTCGAAGAGCTGTACCGTATATGCTTGCATAATCCTCTCACTTTTTTTGCCAGAAAACCGATGAAAAGTTGGGGGATGCGAGAATTACGCGAGGAAAACTTTCTAAGAAAACGTACAGAGCGAAAAAGAAAACGAAGTGGCCGCAAATCAGGATTCTCGCACCAACACCTAACAGCAAGCTTTAGGAAGTAATAATTAAAACTTACCTCAACAATAAAAGCAGAGTCTCAACACAAGACAAGATTAACATGAGACACAAAAAGTGGAAGCAAATAGTCGAGAATTAGAATACTATACGCAAAGCTTGCGGACGTTGTGGGCGTAGCGGTAGCGTTCGTCGCTCAACAGGAGCCCTCAAAAGATAAGCGTGGGACGTCAGTATTGGTCTGATGGCTATTTAACAGAATTTTCCGCAGTTTCCTTCTTAAGAAATAAAGTTTACCATTAATCCCAAGGGCCTACCGGCGGCCCTGTTGCCGTTCTTTAGTGCATTATCTATCACTTGCAACTTGAAAGCAGCCGTGCAGCTTCAGTATCGCCTCATAACTTGACAAGGTTACCGACGCAACATACAAAACACGCCGCAACGCGCACTGGCCACTTCGGCTTCGCTTGAGTTGGATTGAATCTCTGTGCAATAGTACGCTTGATGCTTAAGAGATGGCGCCAGATGATGTGCGCTATCATCATCAGTGGCTGGAAAGAGCAGACGACATTATTGCAGCAGTTTTCGGGGGTGCAATAGTTACTCGAGGAAAAAAAGAAATCGTATTTTTGTTGGCCGATGTGGGGGGTGCGAGAATTGTGCGAGGATTACGCGAGTAAATACGGTAATTCCTTGGACATCTCATTGGTTCTGACGTCGTTCCTCGTTCCTCCGGATCCTGAAAAGACAGCCGCTGTTCAAAGGTTCCCCACACCAAGAAACAAAAATGCAGTGCATCAATTTTATCGGTTTATGTGCCTACTATAGGCGATTTGTAGAAAACTTCTCAAAGAATGCGGATGTGGAACATATTACAAAACTAACAAAAGACGACGTGCCCTTCACATGGGACAGCGAACAACAGAAAGCTTTTGATGAATTAAGAAAATGGCTACAGGGTTCACCAATACTTGCCCATTTTGATAAGACAGCCGCACTGAAGTCTATACCGATGCCAGCAATGTCGGCCTCGGCGCCATCCTGCACGGATGCAAGCAGTGTAGGACTCGGCGTCGTCCTTGTGCAAAAGACCGACGGTCTGGAAAGGGTTATCAGTTATGCTAGCCAGTCTCTATTCGAGGCCGAGACCTACTATTCCACAACAGAAAAGTAGTGCTTTGCCATCATCTGGGCAGCGTCAAAATTTCGTCCTTATTCCTACGGCAGGCCCTTCCAAGTTGTGAGTGCCCACCACGCCCTCTGTTGGCTAGTTAATTTGAAGGACCCTTCAGGTCGCCTCGCACGGTGGAGCCTAAGACATCAAGAATTCGACAGTAACACCGTGTACAAGTATGAAGGAAACACTCCGACACCGACTTCCTGTCTCGTGCCCTCGTATATCTACCACCGCAGGACGACCAGGATGAGCACTTCTTGGGAATAATAAGTGGCTACCATGACCTGGAACTGAGAGGACTAGTGGAATACTTTGAGGGCCAAACCAGCGTCGTCCCAAAAGTCTTCAGGCGAGGACTGGCTTCATTTTTCTTGAAGAACAACGTCCTCGTAAAGAACTTTTCTCCTGCTCGAGCCAGCTACCTTATCGTCGTTCCCTTGGCAATGCGACCGAAAATTATGCAGACCCTGCACGACGACACAACAGCTGGCCACCTTGGTTTTTCCCACACACTCACGAGAATACAGGAGAAATACTACTGGCCACGCCTTGCAGACGACGTCGCTCATTACGTGAGGACATGCCGGGACTGCCAGCGATTTAAGACACCGCCGACAAGGCCAGCAGATCTTCTGCAGCCCATCGAACCACCTCGTCGTTCGTTCCAGCAAATCGGTTTGGACTTACATGGGCCGTTCCCGACGTTGGCTTTCGGAAACAAATGGATCATTGTAGCTACAGACTACCTTGCCCGCTCTGCCGAGACGAAAGCCCTGCCAAAAGGTAGTGCATCTGAACTAGCCATATTCTTCGTCGAAAACACTGTCCTGCATCACGGCGCCCCGAAGGTCCTCATCACCGACAGAGGTACAGTATTTACGGCTGAGCTAATCCTAGCGATTTTGGCATACAGCCAGACAAGTCACCATCGTATCACAGCGTACCACCCACAGACGAATGGCCTCACCGAGTGCCTAAACAAGACCATCGCCGATATGCTGATCATGTATGTCGACGTCAAACACACCACGTGGGATGCTATCCTTCTGTACGTAATCTTCCCATACAACACTGCTGTACAAGAACGAAAAAACACAGAGGACGCCGTATAAGTTGCTCTATGGAAGGACCTCGGCAACGACGCTCGACACCATGTTACCAAACGTCACCGACGAAGAAAACTTCAATGTGAGTGAGTATACCTTCAGCGCGCTGAAGAAGCCCGACAACGCACCCGCCTCCGTATCAAGAATCAACAGACTACCGACAGCCGCCGTTACAATCTTCGACGACGCTTCGTGGCATATCGGCCCGGTAAACGTGTTTGGGTATGGACACCGATGCGCCGACGTAGACTCAGTAAAAAGCTTCTGCAACGGTACTTCAGACCGTTCAGGGTGATTCGACGTTTTGGCCCACTCGATTACAAGGTTTTCCCCGAAGGCATCTCGAACTCTCAACGACGCCGATGCGACCTGAAGTTGTCTATATCGCGCGCGTCTCAAGCAGTTTCATGCGTGTTAATAAACTGAAGCAGTGTATTTTCTTTTTGTATTATTGCTTTATCGTAATTTATTACTTGTATTTTCTTGCATTATTGTTGTACTTTCATCTTCTGTTAAAGCGTCGGTATACCTTTTTCAGAGGGGGCAATGCCACGTTCCTTTCCTCAAGTTTTGTTATCGCCCTGTTAAACTGTACGTATTTCTCAGTGTAAACCGGGCCTTCAGTGTTCGAGAGGCTTAGAAACTGTAGCACATCATTTTCTTAAGATCAGGCCCAATCGGCGAACATTACAGATAGTTCTGGAACCCGCGTTGCCTCTAGCTATTATGCTAGAACATTCGATGGCAAGTGTATAAATGCCGATGCGCTTCGCCACTTGTCAGTTGATCGCCAGCTGACGTTCCGTTCGCCGCTATCAGTGCAAGACTGCTACTGTAATCCGACTTTATGTTTACCGGGCACAGGTCCGCCCAAAAAAAAAAAAGTTTATTACTCGACCCACAGTCTGCTCCACTCGTCCTCCCGTGTGCTCAGATTTGGGTGCACGTTAAAGAATCCCAGGTGGTAAAAATTTCCCGAGCCCTCCACTACGGTGTCTCTTACAGTCATACGGTGGTTTTGGGACATTAAACCCCACATCTGCTCCAATCGTTCACGTCACGACTCCGTGACAATATGTCACGGCGAAGTTGGAGAGGGACAAATGGTCGAGTTCGATCGCGTGACACTTTGCAAGTTAAGGTACCCGATGAAAATGTAAGGGGAACGTCAGTCCGCGCCAGTGATGTGGCGGATGAGCGGATGTCCCGAAGTTCGACAGTCGTAAGTGGTGCCGCAGCGATTTTTTCGTAATCGAGTTGGGGACACAGCTGATATGGGATCGATATAAGAGAGGGCATCTGGGGCCGCGTTTACTGAACCTTCACTGTATCGAACCTCCCCGGTGAATTCGGAGATAAAGTTGAAGTGTCGTATTTCTCGTGCAGTATAGAAGAGTCATAATTACCGTGAAAAGCAAATGTCAGACGCTTGTGGCCCAAGAGGACCTGAAAACTTCAGCCGTCCAGTAGGTGTTGGAAATGTCACATGCCTAAGTATACCGCCAAGAGCTCACGACCGAACGAGCTGTAGCACGTTTTTGCAGGTTTTAGTTTCTGTGGAAAAAACCTGAGTAGATACCAGGAGTTGCGTTGCAACTGTTGTAACACCGCGCCGACGGCCACACTTAATGCATCAGTGATAAGACGCATTGGTGAAACATGCAGAGGATGCACTAGCAGTGTGGCGTCTGCCAATGCATTTTGGCGGGTTGGAAGGGCGATTCGGTGTCAGGTGTTCATGTCAGGGGGTACGATAGAGCTTTGGTGGTCATGAGTAGGTCAGTGAGTGGTATGATTAGGCGGGCGATGTTGGCGAGAAACTGGTGGTGGAAGTTGGGCAGCCCAAGGAACTCGCGGAGTGCGAAAACGTACATGTTGGATGCGCTCCTGAAACCGCACGAAAATGGACTACTTCATGTTTCTCCTCGCATGACGTGATTCTTCACTTGCTACGACAGTCTGCTCACATGCTCAGCGCCTGACCGTGTAGCGCATGCACAGTGGCACAACCATCGACTGGCTAAGCAGGAGGCAAAATACGGTCAGCGAAAAGTGCAACAGATGTCTGGAAGCTTTGCCCACATAGCTGGGTGTGCTGCCACAAAATGTTGTTGCCGAGTATAAATGCAGCTTCAGGGGAACGTGCACAGACCTCGTCTTTGTCAACCACAAAGCAATAATAATGAGGGCAAAACGAAATTCACAACTTAATACAATATGCAATTTATGACCAGCAAACATTGTACATAACTGTACACCACTTTGGCACTCATTTACATGTGCGAGTTGTCAATGTCACGAGTGATTCGCTGCAACACTGAATGCTGCATAAGTGTGTCCATGCATTGTTGTTTTAGAAGAAACCAAGCCATGTATCGAAGTTCCTCTCAATTTATTTGCACATATAAATCAAATGTGATAATGTAACTGAAAAGTGTACTGGTGTATACAAAGAACACGAATCATGAATAGGACTCTCATGGATCCAGCACTGGGACACACAGAAAACTGTGAAGTACTTCAGTCTTTGGTCACGAGCTGTACTTGAAAGAGCAACAAAAAGCAACATGAAACAATCATTTGCGCGAGCTCTCGCAATAAAAAAAATGTGTCTTCGTGGTAATCTAATAATGACACACTACTGTCGCAATGAGAGTTCACATTGTGCAGGGTTTGATATATGGCGTGCACAATTTATAGTTTTAAGAGACTAGGCATGACTAGACTTGTGTCGTCACGGGGACACAATTGATGCATTACGGCTGGAACTAGCAGATCCATCCCTAAAGGAAACCGCAAACATGCATAACGTTCTTCGGTATATTGGTCACTTGGCAGTGACATAACTCGCTTATAAATACTCAAGCTTCTTTATCACGGGGTTCCTACTCCGTCTGCCTTCGACTGACCCATGTCCGAAGACGGAGGTGGCTTCAAGACTCTGTGACTACTTCTTTTTCGAGCTTGTGTGAACGCTCTGGGCTAGTTTTTGATCATATCTTAAATGCATAGGCAGGCTTGGTGCGCATTTAAATGCGAAAGCGTTGTTGCAGGTTCTGGCCCCTGTTAAACGTAGCTTTCGTGGGCAACCGAATATTGCTTGAAAGAGCTCCAAAGATGGTCTTTCACGAGTTCTGCAGCACCGAGGTCCTTCAGGTCCTCATGACCGGATGAGGCGGCAATCTTGCGAAGTGCTGCTAGGCAGGCCACCAGGACAGAGTTGCTGCTGTTGCGTTCTTTTGGCTCCTTGCACAGGCGAACTAGTCTTTGCACAACTGAAAAGAAAAAAAAAACACCTTGTATTGAACTACTTGTTACATTGTTTACTTGCATATGAAATATAATTTGTGGCGAATGATGTCGGAAAGCAAAACTATAAACACACCAAGTTATATAAAAAACTACGACTACCGGACTATGGACGTGTAGTGACAATTCACTATTAAATGCAATATTCTTTTTACAGCTGGTATAAACGTATTTCTTTTCCCTATGCCTTTAACGTGCAGGAATCCAAAATAAAAAGTAGCGCGAAAAAGTTTACGCATGCATGTTGAGGGAAGTCATGTCAGTATAGGTGTATACCTTGCATTTGCAAGACCATCCCGGCTGTGCTCGAGCATGAACACAGGCGCGCTAGTGCGATAGCAGACTTCTGCAGGACGCGTTCACAAGCGTCCACTTCTCCGCTGCTGTGCAGGCTGGAAGGGCGAAGTTGGAGATAGCAGACGAGCTGGGTCAGCGCGCCAGACTCCATGATGTCTGCGTGGTAGTGAGCTCTGCCAGATAAGTTAGCCAGTATTGTGGACACCTACGAAGAGACATAGACGCTTGTTCACGAACACGCTGTTCACTCTTGGGCGAAACACTTTATGCAATCTAAAAACAATATAATTACATATATGTCGATCAGCAGCCCTTCACTCTGAACACTCAATTTATATATCTGGAAAGTTCGAGGTTCAAGTCTCTGTATACGACGAGGGTTCAATGATGGTTGCCATGTGGCCTTATTTGTGAATCATCTGAACAACTTAAATGCAGCGCAAAACAAATCATAGACACAAAAAGGCGTCCATAAACGCACCACATAGCGTTAATGTGGCACTGTGAGGTGTCCGTATACGTATGTGCCTTCTCGTGTCCGTGTATCGTTTTGCGCTACATCTAAGTATTTGGAGAGTTTAAGCCCTGACACACATGATAAGCCATGGTTTCAAATCTGTCTTTAGTACGTGTACCGTATGCTTCTTATTCATTTCCTGTAAGCCCTTTGTATTCCTCTGGGAATGGCGTTATGCTATATAAGCATTTTCATAGACCACTAAATCTCGGACTGCTTATACATATTTAATGACACGCTCGTATGCAAAATGGCTTCGAACCAGTGAGACCCCCAGTGCCCATGTCCAACAATATATATATATCATCATCATCATCATCATCATCAGCCTGACTACGTCCACTGCAGGACAAAGGCCTCTCCCATGTTCCGCCAGTTAACCCAGTCCTGTGCTTGCTGCTGCCAATTTATACCCGCAAACTTCTTGATCTCATCTGCCCACCTAACCTTCTGTCTCCCCCTAACCCGCTTTCCTTCTCTGGGAATCCAGTTAGTTACTCTTAATGACCAGCGGTTATCCTGTCTACGCGCTACATGCCCGGCCCATGTCCATTTCCTCTTCTTTATTTCAACTATGATATCCTTAACCCCCGTTTGTCGCCTAATCCACTCTGCTCTCTTCTTGTCTCTTTAGGTTACACCTACCATTTTTCTTTCCATTGCTCACTGCGTCGTCCTCAAGTTAAGCTGAACCCTCTTTGCAAGTCTCCAGGTTTCTGCTCCGTAGCTAAGTACCGGCAAGATACAGCTGTTATATATACCTTCCTCTTGAGGGATAGTGGCAATCCACCTGTCATAATTTGAGAGTGCTTGCCAAATGTGCTCCACCCCATTCTTATTCTTCTAGTTACTTCAATCTCGTGGTTCGGCTCCGCGGTTATTACCTGCCCTAAGTAGACATAGTCTTTTACAATTTGAAGTGCACAATTATCTATCTCGAAGCGCTGCTCCTTTCCGAGGTTGTTGTACATTACTTTCGTTTTCTGCAGATTATTTTAAGACCCACCTTTCTGCTGTCCTTGTCTAATTCCGTAATCATGAGTTGCAATTCGTCCCCTGAGTTACTCAGCAATGCAATGTCATCGGCGAAGCGCAGGTTATTAAGGTACTCTCCATTAACTCTTACCCCTAACTGTTCCCATTCTAGGCTTCTGAAAACATCCTGTAAGCATGCGGTAAATAGCATTGGGGAGATTGTGTCCCCCTGCCTTACACCCTTCTTGATTGGTATTCTGTTGCTTTCTTTATGAAGCACTATTGTAGCAGTTGATCCCCTGTAGATTTCTTCCATAATGTTTATATATACTTCATCTACGCCCTGATTCCAGTGTCTGCATGACGGCTGATATTCCTACTGAATCAAACGCCTTCTCGTAATCTATGAAGGCTATGTATAGTGGTTGGTTATACTCTGAGCATTTCTCTATTACCTGATTGATAGTATGAATGTGGTCAATTGTTGAGTAGCCTGTTCGCAATCCTGCTTGTTCCTTTGGTTGATTGAATTCGAATGCTTTTTCCACTCTATTAGCAATTACCTTTGTAAACAGCTTGCATACTACGGAGAGCAAGCTGATCCGCCTGTAATTTTTAAAGTCCTTGTCATCTCCCTTCTTATGTATTAAGATGATGTTAGCGTTCTTCCAAGACTCTGGTACCTTTCCCGTCAGGAGACACCTCGTAAACAGGGTGGCCAGTTTTTCTAACACAATCTGTCCTCCATCTTTCAGCATATCTGATGTTAACTGATCCTCACCAGCAGCTTTGCCTCTTTGCATGCTCTCCAAAGCTTTTCTGACTTCTATCATTACTGCTGGGGTGTCATCTGGGTTACTGCTAGTTCTTATAGTATTAAGGTCATGGTTGTCTCGGCTACTGTACAGATCTCTGTAAAACTCCTCTGCTATTTTAACTATCCTATCCATATTGGTAGTTATTTTGCCTTCTTTGTCCCTTAGTGCATACATCCGACTTTTGCCTATCCCAAGTTTCCTCTTCACTGCTTTGACGCTTCCTCCGTTTTTCAGAGCGTGTTCAATTCTCTCCATGTTATACCTTCTTACATCGCATACTTTACGCCTATTAATCAACTTCGAAAGCTCTGCCAGTTCTATTTTGTCTGTTGTACTTGACACTTTCATGCTTTGACGCTTCTTAATTAGGTTCTTCATTTCCTGGGAAAGCTTGCCAGTGTCCTGTCTAACTACCCTGCCTCCAACTTCCACTGCACACTCTGTAATGATACTCGTTAGATTATCATTCATTGTATCTACGCTAAGGTTGGTTTCCTCACTAAGAGCAGAGTACCTGTTCTGCAGCGACACTCTGAATTCCTGTACTTTCCCTCTCAGTGCTAGCTCATTGATTGGCTTCTTGCGTATCAGTTTCTGTCGTTCGTTCTTCAAGTCTAGGCGAATTCGAGACCGTATCATTCTATAATCACTGCATCGTACCTTGCCAACCACTTCCACATCCTGCACGATTCCTGGGTGTGCACTCATTATAAAGTCTATTTCGTTCTTATTTTCGCCATTAGGGCTCCTCCATGTCCACTTGCGGTTTTCTCGTTTTCGGTAGAAGGTATTCAAAATCTGTAAATTATTGCGTTCTGCGAATTCTGCTAGTAGCTCTCCTCTGGCGTTTCTAGTATCGATGCCATAATCTCCTACTGCCTGGTCTCCAGCCTGCTTGTTCCCTACCTTTGCATTAAATATATATATATATATATATATAGATAGATGACAGGTGGCATGGAGGTGGAAATGCTGTAGGCCCGTGTGCTCAGATTTGGGTGCACGTTAAAGAACTCCAGGTGGTCCAAATTTCCGGAGCCCTCCGCAACAGCGTCTCTCATAATCATATCGTGGTTTTGGGACATTAACCTTCACATATCGCTCAGATGACAGGTGGCACTTTAAGAGAACTTCATTTATGATGTCGGCGTTTCGGTCAGAGCCTGCAGAGCCTAAGCTTTATCAAGATCAAAGTCGAGCTCTGACCTTTATGAATGTGCTGCAGATTTTAGTCTATAATGTTAGGCATGAAACATAAGTGAATGTAATATGCACTCATGCACGGTTTCATGGACTAGACAGTTAGTGAGTGAATGCTGGCATTGACTTAATTTTTTATCAGTCGCGATTCATTGCATGCTAAAATCGCCACAGGTATGTGACGACAAACACGCGCAGATTGTTTGTAGCTTTCCTCACCTGATCCTTGGCAAAGATGGAACAGGCGAGGTCCTTCTGCCTGGTCGCCAGCATGAGGGCATGCACAGATTTGTTCCTGTGGATGCACTCCAGAGCTACACGGTCTAGGAAGGAGAGGTTGGCGAGTGCTGCTGCGGATAGCAGAAACACGTCTCCGCTGGTGGCTTGCTCTATCATGCCGGTCAGGGAGGAGACCAGCGAGTCCATGTGCCTCGACATGTGTCTCAAGGTTACACCGCTACAGTCGACCCACGGAGCAGTGACCTGGGCCAGTAAACCCACTGCTTCGCATCTCTCCTGTTGACTGGTGTCTCTCAGGGTGCGCTCGATGAATTCAATGCCTCCCGCTTGCTCCAGCTGCCGAATAGCCACCGAGTGGCCGCAGATGATGGTCAGCGCGCGAATGGCGGCGCACCTGAGCGGCCGTAACTGGACGTCTTGGGCAATCGACAGCAGAGCACGGATGCCCCCTACTCGGGTGATCAGGTCGCACATGTCCGGACCGGTTTCGCCCAGGCTACTCAAAGCAGCCACCGATCGCCGCGCGCAACTCAGGGCCTGGTTATCGCCGCTCATCTTCACAATTTTCTGCGAGGAAAAAAAAACGCAAACAGGTGGTATTGTACATGATTGCTCGAGCCTCGACCCAAAAATATATCGGGTGACCCAGACAACTCTTCCCAAGCAGGTGTTTGTTTAAATTCTTACTTATTCAATTTGCAATTTATCCAGCAATTCCTCGCAACAACGTGTTGCGGCGGAAGCAAGATAAATGAACACAATATACAGTGGTTAATTAGAATGTATTATCCCTTTCAGTCACGAATTAAGATGGACTGTCAAAAAACGCATGAAATCCGTGTCGCATAATTCTAAGGCACTGAGTATGAAGTTGTTTCTCTCTCTGAGTATTGTATTCAAAGAAAGGAAATGAAAGAATGTGTTTCGTATGAATTTCAGTAATTAAAATAATGTGGAACTGATTATTTTACTACTCTGTCACCAGTCAGCTTTAGCCACTGTATAAAAAGAATAAACTATTTGACCTGAAATGCATGCAGAGTTTTTTTTTTCTGGTTGTATTCATTGTTTCTAGAACATGGCACGTCGAACGATCATCGGAAATGTATAGTGTCTCCAGCAAAGTTATCATCTGCAGCAATATCAGCCAAAATAAATTAAATGATTGATATTTATCTACTTAGGAAGCCTGCCGGAATGTGCACACCGAGTTTCAGGCCATTCGAAGAAAGGCGCTGCGTGTGTACAGTGTGACTGAAGGGTGTGCGAGCGAGGCCCACCAGCGCTGCAATCGCGACGTGCAGGGTTGGATCACGTGATCCCTCCTCGCTCTGGCAAAATAAAGCTGGTGGTTGGATGCGTTAAGTGCTTTTAACGGCAACTTCGCGGTGTTTTCATTTTTAAGCAGCATTGTATTGCTTCGACTTCACCTGTGCGGATTTCTGCAGACTACAGAATGTGGAAAAGTTGCAGTAAACGTTACCGGCGGCGTGCCACAGAAAATAGGTACGAGATGTTGCTGTTGCGGCTGCTGGCAGTGCCACTGTCACCTCTCTCGTTGTTGCGGTCGTTATTTAGAGCCCATCGGTTTAAAATGAGCGCAGACCATCAATGTTCACATCAAAGCAAAACGTTTCAGTTTCTGCACGGGAGCCTCGTTCACAATGAAAAATGAAAGTGCAAACAGTTTGCTTATGTATATTTTAAAATTCGATCTGAATTGTCAGAGAGTCAAGATATAGCCCGGAAGTCCAGTTTCTGATTTAATTATTTTTAGCCTATTCCTGCCTATTTCGTGGCAAGTTGCTCCTGCTTGTTCGGCCAGCCCGTTCGACAAAACCTGCTTTCTTATATCATACATGTGCGGTGCAGTCTATTCTAAAGCTTACTTCTCTCACGAAGGTAACTTTTACCGCAGCCTGCACCACCACCACCCTCCCCGGGCGTTTCCCCCCATGTGTGTACCTGACCATACGGGTTTCCATCCGCCAGTGGCGTAGTCGGGGGGGGGGGGGGGCAAGCCCGTGTCCCCTCCCCCTCCCTCTCTGAAATAACGGTCACCCACACCTGCCTGCCCGGCCCCTAGTTCTAATCAAGGTAGAGCCCCCTCCGAAAAAAAAAAAATCTGCTAATGCGCCTGCCGTCCGCGACTTCAGCTCACAGGGTTTCTTGCTTATAGATTACATCTGTATAGAATGGACCTATAGCCACTGTCACTTCCTCTTAATGTTGTATTCATCTACAGGGGAAAACAGGGTCAGCTTTGAAAACTGATTCGTCTTCAAAGAGCTGCCGTGAAATATCACACAGCTTATGAATGAAAATGCAAAAGAAAAATGGACACAGGCATTACTGAAACATGAAATTGCCATTTAGATCGCGGTGTGCAAGACCTCGCAGCAAGCTCAAGGGTGTAAAATGATACGGCAGGCTGATTGCATTTTTAAAATCAGGACTTATCTCTTTGTAGAAGCTTTGGAACTGAACCAATAATTCATAATTTTCGTTCATGTGTGGCTAGATGGCGATTGAATGTGCAACATGTGACCACCGTAGAAATTTCGCGATGGAGGCAGAAATGCTGTAGGCCCATGTGCTCAGATTTCGGTGCACATTACAGAACCCCAAATGCTCGAAACTTCCAGAGCCCTCCACTACGGCGTCTTTCATAATCATATGGTGGTTTTGGGCTGTTAAACCCCACTTACCAATCAATTATCAAAAATTTTGCGAAATAAATATTAGGAGTGTGCCACAGAGAGAAGTTACAACTCTGAATAAGGCATGCACGTGCGTGAATCTCATGTTTGCCCGCAATCGTAATAGAAAGGTTGCGGCTGCATGCGACTGTAAGAATGCTGTGTTGCTTCCCACAAAGCAGGCAATGCGCTTGCGCTGTGCTTTGTAGCGCTATGTGTGCTAAACATAAATGCCATTTGCGCATGCATGTCATGTCAACCGCGGCCCGCCTTTAGATACAAATCTACAATGAATGAAGTAGCATAGCTGCGCGTATTTCTTGCAGCAAAATAAAGTTGTTGTTTTTATCGTTAATACCCATTTGATGCTTCGATTCAACAAAACATGAGTCTTCAGCTTTTACAGAGGCGGCATGCTCAGCCGCCGGGTTGTTTTATTTAGGTGGCCATAGCAGACGACGCCGGCAGTTAGGCATTGTGAGAAGCGCAACACTTTTCTGGGGCAGTTATTTGTCACTTCGTACATTCAGGGAAGAAGCTGCAGCAGTATTTTACTAATTTCTTTGAGTTAAGTACAAAAGTAATAATAAAAAAGAAAACTCGAAAGCGGCTCTGGCTGTGTGCGAGAAGGCGGCGGAGCAATCCAACCACGTATGTCACAGGGATGCCTCCGCATAATGGCACCATGGTCCTCACGCCCATAACAGAGATGGCCGAACTCCTTTTGCAAAACGCCCCTTGCGTAATGCAGTAGCTCTGGTCTCGGCTAAGTAAGACGATAGACAGTTTTTAACTGATATGGTAATAAACCCCTTTGAAAATTTCCTCCGTATAATTAGGGCGCCCTCCAGCATTCAGAGTAGGGTGAAACTTTGCAGTGGCCCAACTTTATGTCCGAGAGGCTACAGCACATGCAGGATTGACAGCAACAATAAAAAAAACTCACCTCCAGTTCCTTTAAGACGAGGGAGTTACTGAGCGTCTGCACGGTGTTCTTGATGTCTGTCAGTAGCGATTTGATATGCTCGGGATCAGTAGGCTTGCGGTTGGGCCTGGCTCCGATCTCTCGGAGATCTTGGAGCAGTTGGTATAGGTGGTTTTCGACTTTGCGCGAGTACGGTGAGGATCCATGGATGACGGCCTTGTAGTCTCGCAGTAAGTCGTTCACCTCTGAGCTGAGGCCGGGCGCGCTGCTGCAGAACTTAATCCAAAGTCCCTGCTCGAGCCTCCTGGTCAGGTGAGTTACGGTTGCCTTAACCGAATCAACACGGTCTCGCAGTGACATGATGGCATCTGAAAGGAACAACAGGTGTTCTTCGTGAGATCTTTTCTAAAAGAAGTTACGTGACAGAATAAAGTCTCATAGTAAGTACCGTTAAATTAGCTTTTATGCTGAAGCAGTGCTTGTCAAATTGACATGGGCATGCCAATTTCTGCAAGTAGTGACGTACCGTGGGCATCGCCGACGGCCAGTACCGCAGCCAGAGCAGGGTCTTTGGTAAGAGACTTGCTTTGCAAGGCGCTCAGGCACTCATTTTCCACCGAAAGGCGTACTGAATTGAGCCACTGCTGGACGCTGGGCACGGAGCTCAGCCCCGACCTGGAACAGTTTCAAGAATTGATGAGACATTATGAAAACGCACATGCTGACACCATGTTCATAGTGGACGTCTCTATATACACTTACTGCTCAACGATCCACTGCAGGTAGTGTCCCAACGGGCTGTTCTGAGGAAGCATAACAGGGCTGACGAAGGAACGTTCTGGAGTTTCCAGTTTCTTTACGGGCGTCGCTGGCTCATCGTCAGCAAAAGGAAGCCTCCGACAGACATCCTTGAGGTTCTTCGGCACAATGGGACTGACGGTAGCATATATGCTTTCAAGCGCTTCTTCTGCTTTTACTCTGAACTCGAACGACGGCGCGAGGGAAGGCGAGTGGCGCTCCTCGGCGGCCAGATCTTCTGTTGAAGCGAAGCGGACGTTCTTCTTCTCCGAAGAAGCCCGCAGCAGGCGAAACGAGCTGCCCCTCCGGCATCGCTTCATGAACGAGGATGCGCTCTTGGGAGTGCTCGTCTTCGGCGTATTAGGCAGAGCGATCCTGGCGTCTTCGGGGGTCTTCACACCGGTCGCTTTGTTGTTCGGTGTCCCAGGTGGGGCCGGCGTTGAACCGGGTGCGTCAATTTTTTGTTTTTCTGCAAGTTTATCTTTCTCAACAAAGCACACATCCTTTTCGCCGCCAACTTCAGAAGACATGTTTACGGTCCTGTACTGTAAATTTTTGTAGAGGGTCTTGCGACAGACTTGCTCAATCGAATGAGACAGCCAGTCATCTTGTCTAACCTCCTGCTTAGGAGATGAGCGGCCAATTCTCGGCGACACCTTAGAAATTTGATACCGGAGGACGCTCTTGTGAAATAGGTCCAAGTTGTCAAGCGATGTGTCTAAATTGAGCTTGAAGACGCCATGGCTCTTTTCACTAGCCTGCAGTAACAAAAAAAAAAAAAAAGAGGTTGTAGGACTTTACGTCTTCAACGTGTCATTGTAAATCAATACTAATGGGCGCGAACAGTTTTTTTTTTTTTCGCTTTCTTCCCGCCGAACTTTACGTTCCGGCTAACAAGGAACACGATGCTGTCGGCGGAAGGCTACCGTACCGTGACCGTAAATGTTATTATCGTTGAGAAGATCGGAAAGGTTCTATGCTGCTGCCGCGGCGCCTCAACCCTCTATGTGCGGCTACAAATAGTGATTGCTGGCCTTATAGCTTTTATCGAATACCCTTGAGCAGACTCGCCGTGTTTATACAATCGCTGCCGGCAAATTTTAAGCACCGTTAAGCAGGACGGGGTTATGCTGTTTTACCTATAGTTGCAGATCTGAGAACGGGTATACCTGTAGTTTGCGAGCTCAAGTAATCAAGTAAAACAGCTAATTTGGGATTGTTTTAACACCGCCAGACTTAACATGCACGCGCACGGGTCAAGGGATCGTAGCGACACCGCTCAACTTGGGTTCAGTGTTCCGCGTGTAAGGGAGGAAAACGTCATTGTCTGCTGAAGTAATGCGAAATAAAGCATGCAACATTGAACTTAAGAAACGAAGTTGTTGCATTTGAAATGAAGCCTCCGCGACGCCACTCCCCGCAGCAGCATCAAAACAACTAAATTAGGCGTGCTTGGAACTGCGGTCCGTCGGAACGAACGCGTTACTAGCGGAACTCACCGACGTGTCAATGCCGCCTCGGCCCATCTTGATCGCTGGGCGTCAAATCCTTCGCGAAGCTTCGTATGAAATACACAGGCCGTTGGTGTACACCTTCAGCAGAACATCACTCGACGAGAGAGCTGTGGCAAGCGGAGCAACGAAGTGGGAGCGGCAGCGAACGCCGCCGAGCCTTTTATACGGCGGTGATGCGAGGAGGAAAGGCGCGCCACCCCGCCTGTGCCAGATGGTCGCGTGCCGTGTTGCGCAGCTGGCACGCGCCGGCGCGTGTCTCCTCCATCAACACTCCTTCCGTGTAAAATGATACCGACGTCGTATTCTACCTCCGAGATGCGCCGGTCCTCTCCTTTGTTGCTGACCTGGCGCGCCCCTTCGCCTCGTCGACCACCACAGGAAAGACACCCCCCCCCCCCCCCGTACCCTACGGAACAGCCGGCGTCTCTTGGTTCAAGAGGGGCCAGCTGCAACTTTGGCGCGTGCCGGAAAAGCTACTACCCCCCCCCCCCCCGCCTCCTCATAGGTCGGTGTGTCCACCCCCTCTTTCGCCCCCGTTCTTCACAGGAAGGTCTGGGTCGCAGATGTTCGCGTACACCAGGCGGCCACGCGACTGCATGCGCGAGTGGAGAGGCCTCGAAATAAATTTTCAAGATAAGGCTGGCACATGCTGTACAGCTTCCGTTTTTCTGTAAAGCCGTGTCACGTGCCTCGGCACGTGGCAGCTGTCGACGTGGGTTTCTCCTCACTGGGGCCATCAATAAACGGCCGCTATGATGTTCTCCAGGTATTAAAAAAAAAGTGCGAAGAGGGGAGCTTTCCCTGAAACAGTGACCACTCTGAATGACCCGTGACCCGGCCCGGTGCTTTAAAGCTCCATATGAGGCGGCCTGTGAACGGGCGGAGGGGGAGGGCCGCGGTCTTCTAGCACCGGCGTGGGCGCGAGCAGCAACTGAGAGAGACCTCGCAACTGAGGGTGTCTGATCAGGTTCTCCAGGACTAAATAAAATTTCTCTTACCTCATGAGCTATGTGAGGTGTACATTGAGAAGCAATAAGAATACAAATATTATTTTACTATTAATAATGAATATTAATGTGAATAATAATAAAATAACCGCATGGTTCATTTCACTGAGGGATGCGTTGCGCACGTCAGAGGAGCACGTAAACACACATCCAAGGCATGTCTCTAACGTATACCAGCAATGTAGAATTCGCTTTCATGCAGTGTAGCAAGCGTTGCTGTCTCACGGGCATATATGTAGGCTTCCGAGATTTCTCCTGCTGTGGTGTCGAACTGTGCATTTCAACACGGCAATGTGTCGCAAGATGAAAACACTCAGACTGTAATCTTCCCGGCTTTCAGGAACTCGACATTATTTAGCAAGAGAATGATAGATTGCTGAAATCACTTGATCGGAAAAAATCGAGATAGCGCATTTTTTTAAAAATATCAGAGCTGAGTCAGTTGATAAAATTTTATTTTAAAAGAGGCAGAGCGTGCAAACAAGACGAAAGTTTGGACACCACAAACATCCTTCTCGTGTTGGCACGCCCTGTCTTTTTATGGCGGATTCATATAGGCGGTCGCTTGCACATGCATTGAATCGTCTTTTCCCAAACTGACATTATTATTTCTTTTTTTCACTTCGGCTTTATTCCAGGCATGCTCCGCTAGTGTCGGTCGAGTTCGACAACCTGCGGTTGGGGCGTGTTTGGATTTCTAAGTGAGTGTGTCATTTGCAGTGATATACGAGTGGCGGCCGAAGGAACTTGATTCGCGACATTGGTTGTGGTTTAAGTTCCTGGCATATGTTGTCTTTCGATATATATGTTGCTTGTTATGCGTCACTTAGAAAAGAAGAAAACATTGGGAACGTCTTGTTATCCCACTACAATAATCGCAATTTCTATCTCGACAACTCGCCACATTACCGTAAAGAATGCTGTGCCACACTGACTACGCGTGTGTGATTATTGACTTGTAAGTACCGGGTGCATGGCGATAAGTGTACACAAAATACATGTCGATTATCGTGGTCAAAAAGACATTCCTTTTACTCGCTTGCCCTCTCTTTCTACAATGTACAGCCCCCCCCCCTTTTTTTTTTCAACCTGAACGCGCGAGCATCGGCCGGCCAAATGAACGAGAATACGCGCGTGCGTGCTGTCCTGCCGAGCTATGTTCCGCTAGACTGTTTCGGAACCATCCCCGCTTTACGGACGGACGGATGGACGGAAAAAACTTTATTAAGAAAAAAGAAACCCTGCAGGGTTACCGGCCTGGGCTCAGGCCACCCCGACGTTTTGTGCGGGGAGGCGCAGCCTTTCCACCGCTGTCCGGGCCCGCTGGATTGCCCACAGTTGGTCGTGCAGACCTGAGCTAGTCAGCGCACTTAGCCAACACACCTCGAGGAGGTCCAGTTTTATATTGTCCTCTCGGTATATTACTGTGACCTGTGTGAATTGCCATAAAATGTGTGCTATATGTGCGTGTTCGTGCTTACAGATGGTACAGCTTGTTTGTGTGTATTGTCTGGAATTTACTCTGTTCAGGTTTACTGGATTTGAAAAGGTTCTGGTTTGCAATCTTCGCCAATCCGTTTCTTGAGATCTGTCTAGCTGTTTGTGTGGTGGCGGATATTCTTCTCGTTGTCGCTTATAATGTGCCAATATGTCATCATACGTGACCAGTCTGTCTCTGTCGTCTTGTATCGCATATTCATTATTGTCATCACCTCCATCGTCCCCATCGCCTCCACCGGAGTCGTCCCCCCTTCGGTGGTCGGTGCGGGGGGCCGGGCCGTGGTTGTCCGAGCCGTGGTGGGTTAGTTCTCGCACGGTTCGGTGTGTCTTCTCGTTGAGGTTTTGAGGGATGGTCGTGTCTTCGATGTTTAATTCCCCCATGTGCGCCGGGATCCACTTGAGGTATTGGGGTACAATTTTGCCGTTCCGGAAGTCTCCTGCTCTGCGGTTCAGGATTTTGGCTGCTTCGGTGGAGACCCATCCCTGTGTGAAATTCCTAATAACCATCTTGGAGTCACTGATTATTAATCTGTCGTGTTTTCGACCATTGACTACGGCCAGTGCGATGGCCATTTCTTCCGCTGCCTCCGACGATCTGGTCCTTACGGAGCCCGCGGTCAAGGTCTTCCCTTTTGTGTCTATGACTGCCATTGCGAAGAAGGAGCCATGCACAACACTATTACTGATATCATTATTTCTGGAATACCGGGCGCCCCGTCTACAAAAAGCACAGCCTCCCGCGTGCCGTGGTTTTTAAGGATCATTTTCGTGCGGCATTTTCGTCTCTCAACGTTGTGTGCAGGGTGCATATTTTTTTGGATGTTTTCCGTAATTATCGCGGACCGGACGTCCGGGTGAGTTTGCGTCTTGGGACATTTCATTTCGTGGTAATTAATGGGGATCTTGTTTTCTAAACGCTGACACCGAGTTTTCGTTACGGTCAAGAAGCTGCACATGTGATCGATGAGATCTGGTGAGACCCGATGACAATACACGCGTGTCGGTGTTTCTTTTTCAGTGGTTCACACAGCACTTTCTTTAGTCAACAAAAATATTTACCACAGCAAGCAAAAAAAATAATTGAAAAAAATACAGGGCGGAAAAGCGAGTCCATCTGCAAGCGTACGTAGCTGACAAAAAAAGCTGTTCTGTGTGCTTATGCGCGTATTATCGTGAATGCCGGTGGTGTGCTCCGTTATACGACGCTTATGCACTCGGCATTCGAGACTCACACTTTTCAATAACGCGAAAATGCTGTCTGCACATTGCATACTGAACCGGCCTGCGATGGAGTACGTTTTGCAAACGCCTGTCTATTGTGGAACGTTCTCTCTCCAAATTTGAGCAAAAATACTTTAATGAAATAGCGCTGGTAAAATTACATTGATCTAGGTCGTTCAAATCAAATCAAAATGAATTTATTAAGACGTGTATACAAAAAGTGCGTTCATAATATTTGGACCAATGACCTACGTGGCTAGTGGCTGCTCCAACAGAGAAAATACATAAAAGTTAGCAACGCATATGATTGGTCATGAGAATTATTGGTTTTATATATATCGAAGTTTCGACGATGTACAACCTACGTTTGACAAGGTGATTACATTTCAGTAGACAAAAAAAGCGTTTTGAAGAAACGTTGGAGTTACGCTTTTTTTTTTCTTCTAGATGCACGGTGTTCCGGGTTTCAGCTGTGAAGACCTCGTAACAACCGTTCGATATTGACATTGCTGCAGGGAGGAAGATGTAATTTTAACCGACTTGTTTGCACGCAGGAAGTTGAATAACATGTTGGGTATTGAAAGTTTGTGTACAGTATTTTGTGAACTAAGAAAGTTACCTCATAATTTCTTAGCACCGTAGATCATTGAATAGGATGCTATCTGGGGAAATGAACGGGGGAGAATGTTATTATTCTTAAAGCACGTTTTGGTGACTGCAGTATAGGGGCTGAATAAGTTTTGTATGTTAGGTCCCAGGCCTCGCAGCAATAGCGGCGAGGTGTGAATTAAACAGGGAAAGGTTTATGGAATGAGAGCGAGGAAAATATTGGCGGGAACAAACCAGTGCATAACAGCATGACCTGGTCCCTCCTGTGAAAGTTATTGTCAAAAAGAACTCTTATGTATTTGAATTTGTCGACTCTATATTCAAGGTTTGGTTGGCCAGAGAGATGTTTAGAGAAATTTATTCTCACAGACAGGGAACATCAATTACAATCCAACAGAACATTGCGACAGAACACAACATCCACAGTTGTTACAAAAGTTGTGACACACCAAAAGTTGTTACAAAAAAATATGTTTACATAAGTAAACGGAACACAGCATACACAGCTACACAGGAATTGTTACAAAAACAATGTCTACATATGCACAATACATGGTAAACGAAGAACACACAAATAAAATGTAGAGATCTATATGTCAGATATTTACATATTATTTACAAGGTATTTGTACCAGTACATAAACAAAAATTAACCTACCAATACCAGGCAGGCCTGAAAACAAGCCTTACACGTCTCTCACAGACGAACACAAAACGGCAGGACCAGTGTCGAAGGAATTCCTCCTCACCCAGAAAGAAGAGTTCCTCCGACAAAACAGATAGTATTTCTTTGTACAGTCGCTCCAAAATCGGGAAGAGAGCCCGGCGGCGACGACCTGCTGCAACAGCTTCACAACGGTTACGCCAAAGACAGTAGGCACCAGCAACAATGAGAAGGCAGGCAAAGCGGCCTCGAGAACAACGTCCAGAAGAAACAAAGCGGTTTACTCCGAGGCCACGAAATCCTGCATGCACAGCTCTCCAGAAGACACGAGCAACGACACATTGTCTTAAAACATGCTGATTTGTTTCCCGTA